ATTTACATAAATGGAGTTTTTAAAAATTTTACTTCTATGTGGCATTTGCGGTGCTTTTACTGTATAGATCAGAACTATAAAGTAGCCTGCTTTTCAATTTTGTTGCTACCACTCCATGGGAATACTTTAAATTTAAGATTCTACACTACCTGTAAAATTCACAATTTTCCCAATTGAAAAGTTTGAGTCATTACTCTAGTTATAACTGGAAGTGCAGCAAGAAGAAAACCACCAAAAGAAGCGATTTTCTTTTTACATTCTAGGAGAAGAAAGACAAGATAAGAGAGATAATTTGATCTGGAAATACATATGGACATTTCCATCATTTAATATAACAACTCAATTTTAAAAATACATCAGAACCATTAATATAAATATAATTGTATAATAAACAATCAATTGCATTAGAATTGCTATAATAAACAATACTGCACCAAATACAATAAGAAAAATCAATACTTATTGAAATGCAAGGACAGAGCATCTGATCTTACCTCAGACGTTATTTCACAGAATGTATAAATCATCACAGAGAGGAAAATCTTTTTTCTGCCAACCTGCAAGACTGTTCACCTGAAAAGCAAAATCAGTGTAAAACGTTGGGCCACAATGTTTCAGACAGAACTTCATTATGTGTTATTTAAAAATAATGAAAATACTCTGTTCTGCAATTATGCCTACTGAAAAAGTGTGAAGTAGTGCTATGAATCTTAAAAATACTACAGTACTTCTATAAATTAGAATTGCTTAAATGTTAAGTAATCAAGTCATGTCTCCATTGTGGACCCAGGGTAATCCAATATATCCTAACCACTGACTCATCTGTAATACATCATGTCAAATCCTCGATGGTTTGCAAATGCAAGAAAAATAACAGATGCTGAGAAAGACAATCATCCTACTATACCTTCAAAATCTCTTGTGCCATTGACAAAATGGAATATCCTGTACACAAATTAACAATAACTATTAAGGCACCTGCTAATCACTTCTTCCAGATAAAAAACCTGAGATTTCTTAGAAACTAACCATTTTCAGATAAAATTGTAAAAGGAAATATTCAGCAGCGAAGTCAAATCTTAGAAATCATGACAGATATCATGTAACTGTGTACAGGTTTCCATCACATGAGAACATTCCTCTACCTGTCCAGGGTAGCTTCAATGTCTCCAGCAACGCTTTGTCCACAGGTAGACAGAGGTAGACAGAGGGTAGTTAGTGGCTCAGGTGTGAACAACCTGGCCGCATTACTGGTGACAAGTGATAAAAACAACTGGGAAAACTTAAGCTGATTAATATACAGGAAACAAAAGCTCAAGTAGATTAGTGGGTTTGGTAGTACTCGACTGGACAACCGCATGAACCTGTGAGACTGCAACGTTTATTTCTTTTAACTGCAGGCCAGGGCCACAATGGTTAACACTGCAATTACATTAAACCAAAATCTAATCCAGTCTTGGTACACGTCACCTTGGCACCAAGGTAAAACAATCAAGAACAATGAGTCCTGATATAAAAATCACACTGCAATGGCAAAGTATTGTCTCCCTGCATGGGGAAATGCATTCAACTTGATATCTTGCTGCATCCAACACTGTTTTTAGTGAATCAATTTAAGACCAACATCAAAAAACGGGGACAGTTTGAGTGTAGTTAATTATCTGGAGAATTTATGTATGGGTCATTCCCTAATCAACCAGCAGACCACTCAATTCATGAATTAAGCAGAGGGTGGAGATAAATAAAATATATTCATGCTTGAAATAATTTCATTTAAATATTTTAGAAAGCAGCCTGAATGGCAAACTAATTTGAACCAAGTCGAGCTCTAACATTTGACAAGTTAAAAACATACTTTTGAAATCTTTTCCAAGAAAACAGTTTCCCAATGGGCAATTTTTTACATTTTTTCTTATTACCATGCATCAACATGTGTGGCATGTGCATTATGCAAGAATCTTATTCATGGCCCCACATTTTAAGAATCCATATTATTGTACAAAAAAAAAAAAAAAAGAGCATTCAAAACACCATTAATACTCTTAGACAGGTCTGTACAACATATCATCAAGTGCCCTTACTAAACTAAAATAAACTAACATATAATCTTAGGTAGACCTGGCTTCTAGTATGTACACTTACATGTACTTACATATAAAAAAATACAAGAACTCATAAAAGCTGAAAAGTTTTTTCCCTAACCCTAGTCCTTTAATTCCCAATACCCATTAGAGTGCCTTTTGATGGTGTCAGCCAAAACAGTATTCCCATTCAACCTGAGGTGTAATATAAAACAACTTTGCTGAAAACTCCTCTAAATTTAAGGCTATATAAATTCAAATACATCCTTTTGGTATTGAATGAAAATCCAATGCAGAAAAGACACCTGTTAACTGGATACCCCATAGAAAGTATGGTGATATATTGGAACACTATTTGGTGCGCACAGACTTCCAAAAATAATTCCCATTTTTCAAGTTCATGAAACGCGAGTCTTGTTTCAATACGGATAAAAATTGGTCAAATTGGGACTAGTTACCATTTTAGCACTTCCATTTAATATGGCAAACTGAGCTCATTCTAGCATAGTCAATTTAGTCAAATTAATCCTCATTATTAAAGAAATAATAATTTGCTAAAGAGATAAAAAAATTTTTTTAATATTTTAAAATTTTTCAATTTCTTTTTCAAGTTTGTGCCATAAGAAGCACATTCCCTTTATAAAATTTAAATTAAAAATCAAATTTGAATAAAAAATATACCCATCACAAAGTTCAAGTGTGCATTACAAAGTGTCAAGGAAAACTTCAGCACAGGAAACAGATGTGACATTACCAGCATGTGATAGCCTATAAATGTCAGAGACAATATATTTTTTCACTTAGCTGTCCCTTAAAAGGGGTCACCGACATGTAGCTCGAAATATCAGACAACTGATTATTATGTGTGTATGTTTTAACACTAAAATTTTAATGGAGATGATAATCCAATTTAATATTTATATTAATGACTGTTAGTTGGGAATAAAAAGCTGAGTTTCAAAACATTTAATAATGATGTACATAATGACATGCCACATGTGTCTTTTTAAGGAAAATGAAACAAATTAAACTTGAAAACCAAAACATACTATGAACAATTAAAAAAATTAATTAGGCACAGGATGGAACTCATCATATGTTCATCAGGTATGTACTATGCTGTAAGAAGTAGAATGACACTGATAAAATATATACGCTGCTGGCAGTCAAGTACATGTTATTGTCTGAGCTGTCTATTTCTTACACTCTTAATTAAAACCTTTTTACATGTTTTATTGGAAGGAGCTCAAACAAAATTAAACCACACAATCTGAATAGAGTACTTTAATCTACTTATTGTAATGTTACTTTTATTAATAATGTATTGTACAGTCTAATTTTTTCTAAAATCTTTTAAAATCATTAATTATTAAATGTTTTATTGCAGGGAGATCAATCAAAATTAAACCACACCAAATGAACATACTTTTATCTATTCACACCTGAGTGATAGTACAGATATACAGATATATTAAGGGTTCCAAGCAAAATATACCATGCAGCTATTTTGGTTGTATCCAGCTGGTTGTATCTGTACCAGAGTGGTTATAAAGTTGGCCAATTTGGCTACAGTCAAATGCAAGCTAAATTCATATAATTTAGGTACTATTTTAGTATGGAACTGAACTGTTTTGATAGCATTACCAAGTTGATATCTTGTTGTGCCAGGTATTCTCCCAAGTTTGTCTAACTGCTTATAACATGTGTCAACATCAAAACTTCAAGTTAAAGTTAATTATATACATGAATCAACTAATTCAACTTCATTACTTCAAAGATTTACTGAAGTCTTTGGCCCACGTTTTCTGTTTCTAGAAACCCTATACAAGTTTGTTGTATTTGCTGAGTTTGCTAGAACCTCTAATATGATGAGTGAAATCAGAAAACTTGAAGAGTACTGGAAGCAGAAAACCCTGCCTAGAGACTAGAGTAGAATTAATTAATTCCATTATTTTTATACATTAGTCCTCTTTTTGCAAAACCCATCATTGCATAAAAAATTGGACTAGTTAGGAAACTGCAGACCACTTAGATCTGCTGACCTGATAAGGGTGTTGATTTCATTCAACCAATGTAGATTTCGTTCAGCCAAGATAACCAAACTTTGCACTAAATGTAGTTACTTTAAAAACACAACAATCAAGTTTAACAAGACTTTAAAACACTTCCAAATCTGACTTTAAGTCCACACTGACATAAATGATAATGGCTTATTTCACTTACACAACGTAAACTTTGGGATATCCTGCATTTATTAGGTCCAGTTGTCTGCTCACAAACATACCGCCATCATGTTGACACACAGGGAGAGGTTGATTAATGAAATTTATGTACGCTTAAAAATATAGCCCTTTGTTTATTTTCCCTCGATCCTTCCTATGAAATGACACAATTGTACATATTTTTTATGCAGAAACCTTGTTTTTTATCATTCAGGTTTTAGATTTTGATATTTTATCAACCGAAATAATTTACCTCTTTGAATAACAAGCTGCTCCTTGCATGCCCTTGACTTATTGACCTAATATAAGACGTCGCCGGTCGGGGAACTTCGCAACGTGTACAAATCCATTCGGAACGAGTGGTACAAATCCTGGTCGAGTTTAACTTTGGGATTTTAGGGACGAAAACGAGCATTCTTAAAGTCACTTTATATTTTCTTGTACATTTCTTCAATCACATTACAGTATTTCATGTTTATATAGGCATTTTTATGGTTTATGAATAACTGTCCCATCTGTCTCACCTGACACAATCAATAATTTCATTAACGTGACAATCATTGTCACAATCGAGTAAAAATCCAAGACTTTCATTATATATATTTTGAATACTGCTCTTGCTGAATGGATTAAATGCCTTCTTAATATAAACATTTGCTTTATATATATATATATATATATATAAAAACATTAAAAATTCAGATAAGTTCATTTATTGGGCATTCATATACATAATATTATCATACATACAGTATGTACATTTATTTATACAAGGCTTGTTTTCAGATTGAAAAAAGAGCGTAAACATATTATGACTCTTCTGCTAAAAAGTTCACTTCAGTATCTGATATAGTCAAGCACTGTAATGTCAATCATTATGGACGTCATGTCTGAAAAGATAAGGGAAATCATTTCTTTTCCAGAGCTGCAGGTGATGAAACTGATATCCTCAAAGATTCATCGGTTAGCTGTTCCACAGAAACATTAGGGGTTGGTTGGTCCCCATTTGGCATCTTGCTGGCCCAGAAGTTCATTACTTTTTCTTTTACGTCTGCATTTTCTTCTCTCCACTCTCTTTGCCACTGACGTAGTTCTTGAATCTCTGGCACTCTCCGGACCTGGGAGAAACAAGTATAAAATGTTTCAATGTTATTAATTAACAGGCTCTCAGGTGACAAGCCTCTCCGCATATAATAATGCACATTTAAAATCTTATCAAACATCTTTCTGAACAGTTTAGTATAATATTCTCAATGATTACATTAAATACCTTATACTCTGAGTAGAACATTCATGTTTATTATAAACAAGAAAAAAAAAAGGAAACCAAAGTCCGACAATAAATGACATCTGATGTAAAAAAATGTGAGGTGCATACCAGGTATCCTCTCCATCCTGACTGCAGAACTATTGCAGCTTCCTCCTCAGACCACAGCAGTGACATTGGAAGTGGTGGGCGGGGGCTATGGGAAAGGAAGGAGAACAGTGTGTTGTGCAAGGGTAGATAGGGATTTCCATAACATCAACTTAAAATGTGCTTCTTAACTAACATATATATATATATATATATATATATATATATATATATATATATATATATATATATATATATATATGAGTGCAATAACTAATTATTTTATTTACAACACAATGTTTTTCAGCTAGGGGAAAAAACGAATGAACATAAAGGTGTTATACCCTCTGAAATACAATATTTCCAAGGAATTATTTTTCCTATCATTTGCAGATCTTATGATATGTTCATAACCAATAATGCTGATAACAAATGCAGTGGAAAACATATGGATATACTCACTGTTCCTTTAGCCACTGTTGCACAAAAGGTATATCTAATAAACCAAGTTCACTTCTTTCCTTTAAATGCTCTGGGTTTTTCCTAGAAAAGAGAAAGTTACTCTACACTTTTTGGATTTTGAAGTTATTGACCAAATAAACTTACTACTAAAGAACATCAACCATAATTGTAAAAACAATATGAGCAAGCCCTGTGAGCAATTCTCACTCTAGGTAGTGACTTGGTAGAGGACCCAATTATGCAGATGGTATCCCTAGTCCCTGCTGATGGCTTGTGCTCACATGTCAATCAATTCTCAATGACCTGTATGCATTCAGCTTGATCATGCTGTTCTGACAAGAGCATAACGTAGCTGTTTTGTAGGTATTTCATGTTCCTATATATTACTAAGTGATCACATCATTATGAAAATGTTGCTAAATACAAAACCTTGGAACAATCTAACAGAAAACCATAGTACTGTTTTAACACAGAAATGCTGCATGTTTATTAAAAGCTCCACTTACCTGTATAAATATTCTGTGAGATAATCTATAGCATTAAATTTTGTTCTTCTCCTCTGAAATTAAACAAATTTACACATTCACAATGTACATTTATGGACCCGATTACATTTTCTACAAAAATGAGATTTTGTACTTTAACATATACATTTTTATGCAAAAGTATTAGTGAATAAAACTTGATAACACTTTTTAAAAAGAGATTAACATTATCAAATAAACTATTATTATTACCAATGCATTTTTCTCTAAGAAAACACTTCATTTATTCACTTTAATCCAAATCTCTCAAAAAATACCTGCAAAGCAGAACATATACCAGTAGTTCCTTACCTCAAAACATTTTTCTTTCTTAGCTTGCTTGAGCATCTCTTCTAAGGCAGGTAATAAAACAGGAAAAACATAATGTTCTAGATATTCTCTTGGAGGACCTATGCAGATAAATGGAAATAACATATTTCATATTAAAAGAGGTTTATAAAATTTAATTGATACTGTGAAAGAATTTTAACTGTACAATGTGCACCATAATGCCATGTAATGCCATAATGCCATGCAAGATCTAATATATAAAAGACTTGGAGTTTCAATGTTACATTAAAAAAAGATATCCATTTGATACTCCTTAAATTTTAAGAGATAATATCATAAAGAATAGATCCAGGGTCTTACATGTCTTCTTATCAGGTGGAGCAGGTGGTGGAGGTGTTGCTGTCCTGGGAGGTTTGTCGACAAATGCATAACCCACTGTAGCTGGATGGGACTTGGAGGCATCAAATTCTTTCATTAAATCTACATCTTGTGTGCCCTGCATCTTGTGGTGCATTTTTCCATAGAAGACGGGCGTTACTTTACTTGGGTCATAATTTCGATATTCTGTATGTGTGGATTCTGTATCGTCTTCTTTGAAAGGAGGTCTCATAGCTGCAAATTCTACATTAAAAGGCAGTAAGGAAAATTTATTATTAAATCTATCTACACCCCCCTTCTTCCAACTTTTTACTTCTAAGCCAAGCCGAAGTGTTCCAAGGCATTTTTGCGTGAAATCAAGTCTCTTGTTTAAAAATTATAAAAGTCAACATTGATATTTTTACTAAGTAAACAGCCAAAAGTTACGTGAGTTCATTTACAGCTTCTTAATAAACGAAAAATCTGCCTACCTTTGCATATTTCTTCCCAGATATTGGGCTCGGGAACCCTTGTTATTACGGACATTTTGCTGCTTTGCTGAATACCGTATCACTCACAAATTTACATCAAATCCGCTACGTATATAAGCCATAAAATTTACATATAATTATAAGCAACAGCGAATTGCATGCATCCCCATGAAATTTATATCTATTGTGGTGGGTAATTATTTCAAATTGTGATTTAATCAGCATCTCTATATGAGAAAAACATAATAAATATGAACAGCGTAGGAATATTCAATGACTGCAGTTGCTATGAAGGTTTCAGTCTCCAAATAAGAAGAGCTAATGTGACAGCACACCGCTACAGAACACCAACCACAATCTCGTACATCACTACTTTAAGTAAACTTTGCTTAGTCTACTTTTCTTAGTTTGGCTTTCTAAAAGTGCAGTTAGGCATGCTTTTAATAAAATTATTTTAATGTTTAATCAATGTCCTTCATATGATTTTCAGAAACCTAAATTGTTCTCTTTAAAATATTGACAATTATACCTATGATGTAAAATCAGTATTGGGCTTAGGATAGTGTAAACTGGTACAAAGAACAAGTGGGACCCCTGTAGTACTTCTCTTATCTAATGAAGTATCTGTGCACAGGCAGGTCTCTAGCAAGTTGTACACCGTGTTTGTGCTGGGAGCAGTAGGTATATTGTGCATGAGTAACTAACATCTTGTTTTTGATCAGAAGCCGGACAGGGGTACATGTACCGGGTACGTGGCTTGCATGATTGTACCGAGGGTGAGAGGAAAGCGGCCAGAGGAAAGCTGTGGATCGAGCCACTGTCCAGGAGCACCTTTCTCATACAAAAAATTGTGCCTGTGAGCTAAAACCAATGCATGCCAGAAGGCAACCTGTTTTTGTTATTTCTGAGATTTTTTTTTTTTTTTGTTCAGCTATAGACATGGACTTAACTTCAGATAGGCCTTCCACGTTATTAAATCCAAATTTAAGTACTTTTAAGTACATTGTAACTTCATGTGGAGAAAAGAACTCATTTGAAAAATTTTTGCTACGATTATATATCGTTGCATTTTTAGAATCGGGTCACAGTAGGCACATTTTTAATTTTAATTTTTACTCTGCAAGAATAAAAACAATTCAAGCAAACATTTTTTAGAGGAATATAATTTATATTAGTGTTATCTTTTAATAGTTTGACTGCATGAAGGGATCCATTAGTTCTTTTGCCTTGTCACTGTGCCTTGACCTTGTACTCTTTGTACTGGATGGGTCGACTGTTCTTCTGGAGCCAATCTCTGACATAGACATGTTATAGTTTAACCTCACTGAATATAAATTTATTGTACACCATCAAGGTTTCAGAAAGTTTCACGACAGCTCAAGTTTATAACAGATACAGGCAGTGAGCAGTACGTTCAACTTCTTCTCACATGGCTGGGCAGGAAAAATCTTGCAATGTATTGTAAACTACAAAATTTCGAGGAGGTGAAAATATTGTCCCCAAATGTTATTATAATAATTGGGTAATGCATAAAACTATTGCAACTTAAAATTTTTATTTGATACTAACAATTGACCGTAAATAGCAGAAAATAAATTGTCAACATATTTAAATTCCTATTTTCTATAATTTTTAATTTTCAATTTCAGAAATGCTGAACATGGCTGTCCCAAGAAAATCATTGTTCCTGGTTTGCTCCATACCAAGAGCAGCATTCAGTACATCATCCAGGATACAGTACAGGTATACCCCAGTGGAGAAAGAGAAAACGGAGATAGATGTAGTAGACCTGCGTAGTGACACTCTCACTCTCCCTAGTGACCAGATGAGAAAAGCCATGGCAGAAGCACATGTGGGAGATGATGTGTTTGGTGAAGATCCAACAATAAACGGTACATATTATTAATTTATGAGTGACTGATATCATCAATGCCTTTCTTAAAAAACAATGAAGATTTATATTTTTTTGTAGCTTTTACAAATACAAATTTATCATTACTCAAGGGTCTTCAGAATGAAATGAAAAAGTGAAAAACATGAATTGTTAAAAAAAAAAGCTCAAATTTTGTATTTGTATTTATATTTCAGCATTACAGAAGAGAATGGCAGATATCTTTGGAATGGAAGCATCTATATTTGTGCCATCAGGAACTATGGGAAATTTATGTTCTAGTAAGATATTTGTTTGCCCCATGTTTGTGCATCCAAATTCTGTTGTTTATAGCATAATCTTATCAAAACTGAAGCATGAAACCATGATGGTGAAACTTTGATATTTGGTAACTGACATTAAAACCACTAGTAAAATTAATAATGTAGCATTAAAAAAGATACATCAAGTGCATTCTAGGATTTGGTTACTTAGGCCATATTTTATGGACAATTTTGGAAGAAAAAAGCCTGGGTATATAACATTTCTACTAAAGGTTATTGAGAGCGTATTTCAAATGTTTGTCTTCACATACAAAAAGAGGCTAAATGTCAGGACTCACTCACTCACTCACTCAATGTACTTCTGGCTTGGGAGTTAACACGTACCCTAGGCAAATGTATTTCATATGTATATATATGTCATTCCAAAGTTGACAACTTTAAATTTGCAAAGTTATCATTGAAACAGGTATGCCAAAACATTTACTAGTAGATGATATTTGTCAAACATGCATTTATACATTTCCAGCATATTACTATTTTTTAATTATGATATATTTTTGTTGTTGTCTTTTCTAGTTCTTTCCCACTGCCAGAGACGAGGCACTGAGGTGCTGATGGGGGACCAGTGTCATGTTTTCTATTATGAACAAGGGGGTATAGCACAGGTCAGTATTACTTATCATATCATTCATACAATTTTAATGCAATCAATCAAGTAACAAGATGATATCTTAAATGTTCTTTATTATTTCAAAATTCAACAAGTAAAAGACCTTACCGTTTATCATTCAGTAAATTTTTCATTAAGTATTAAAAATCTATTATTTATTTTAAATTATTTATGCTCATTGCTGAAGTACCTTACTGATGTAACACTGTAAAGTTATCAAGTGACAGACATTCTTGTAAGGGTCTGCAAACGATGAAAACATTTGCATATTTAAGTTAGAGCACAGCATTGTCCATTGGCTTATATGTTTATAGGTTTTAAACTCCTGAATTAACACTTCAATATAAGTAACAGTTCATGAAATGAGAAGCAGTTCAAATAAGCTTTCTATTGATATGCAACATGTTGATACAGTATCTTGGTCGGTTAAGAAGATAGCCACCCTGTTATTCTCATCTTCAATTTGCTGTTGCAGTTAATCCAGATTACAGTAAGCCATACAAGAGAAAAAAATCTCATTTTGACAAAGAAAATGTAAAATATTACACTGTTTTGCCATAATATTAATTCATCATTGATTTGGCTAAATATTATCGAGATATTTGAGACAAAAATGGATCTCGGAATTCTTTTCAGTTTGGAGGACTTACTCCAAGAACACTCACCAATCTGCCTGATGGAACCTTTGACTTAGATGAAGTAATTCATAAAATCAGGGATGCAGATGACGCCCACCAGCCAAGGACAGGAGTCATTTGTCTTGAAACCACACACAACAGGTGTGGAGGAAAAGCCATTCCATTAGAATTCATGCAACAGGTAATAATTAAAACAGTCTTCTGATTGAGGCAATCAACTGGCTTAAGCTTTAGATATATCACTTGACAACTTTATCTCTTTTTTACACATTGATACAAATGTCCTAGGTGTAGTGCAATCTATTTTTGGATAATTTTTTTCAAGTTTTTCAGTTCATTTTATTTTTTCTTAAAGGTCAATTTGTATACAGCTGGCTTAAATATTTTCAATAAAAACTTGGCAATAAAAGGCACTTGACTAAATGTATATAGAGTCATCTCAGGGAAATGGTCTGGACCTATCAACTCCCCCTTCCATCTGCAGTCAATTTTTTGTATATATTTTTGAACCATTAGCCATGAGACAGTGAATTAACAGATGTACCTAATGCTCCAGATCAAGGAAATAGCAACTGCCAATGAGCTTAAAGTCCACTTAGATGGAGCAAGACTTTTTAATGCAGCATTGGCACTGAATGTACAGCCATCAGATATTCTGAAACATGTTGACTCTGTTTCTATGTGTTTTTCAAAGGTGAGCTTTTAATTAGACATAGATCTTTCACACTTATTTTAAGCTACATCTGGACATTATAGGTTCAACTGTTTTTTTTTTTTTAATTGATTTTACATCTGGAAACATTTTGCTGGGTTTTGTCATTTTCTACTTGGTTTATCGAAATTATCGTGCATTTAACATTTGATGCTTCCAGTGCATATGAGGCAAAATTAAGTTATGAATAATGTACTACATAGACTAGTGGTGGCTGAATATAGTATTTCACATTAAAAAATTGGGCTGAAATCCAAACTTATATTTTTCTGTATCTATAGATTATATTCAAACTTCAGTTCTCAATTTTAGGGTCTTGGTGCACCAGCTGGCTCAATTGTAGCAGGAAGTGCAGAATTTATTTATAAGTAAGAACTGTTCTAGCAGCATTTTAAAAGACTGCCTATAACTTTTAGGCTTTGGTGGTTACAATGCAATAGGATGGGGTGGGATGGTCTATTTTTAGATTGTTCTTTAAAGTTGGATTGATTTTGAGAACATTTTTTTAAAGGTCAGCTTATATACAGCTGGTTTAAATATCTATACTAATTCAGCTATAAAAGGCACTTTATTTTATAGAGCTCTCTCAGAGAAGGGTACAGATTTAGAAATAATTTTTGACCCACTTTGCTTGATAGGCTGCAATGTCTGGTAGTTAGCTGAAAAAAAAACCCCAAGAAGTTAATATAATAAGATTAAAGGAACGATTTTAAGACTTGTGAATTTAGGTAAACTTCAAAGCATTTTATTCCAACTACAGGAGCTATATTAATTTAAAAGTTGAGACTTACTGTATGTCAGTTATCAGATGATTTACCCCAAATCAGTGGTAAAACACTGCCTGTAAAATAAGTATATAGATAAATGAAGAAACTGGCAAATAACATGAGAGAACAAAAGCATCATGTCTCCATCATTTTCCTAATTTCAGTGTCCACAGGTTGAGGAAGGCTGTTGGGGGAGCTATGAGGCAAGCTGGAGTTCTGGCAGCGGCTGCATTTGTTGGCCTGGAAGAAACAGTACCATTGCTGCACAAAGACCACCAGCATGCAAAGAAAACAGCTAGAGGTTAGTGCAGGGATGGGTCATGTTGGAAAAGAGTTTCCTATAAAAAAGTGATATCCTACGTACATAATTATATATTTTTCCTGTAACTTTAAAGCAGTTTTTATATCAGTTATATATTTACATTTTATGTACATACTAGTACACAGTGTCTCTGCACATACCCATCACTTGTCAGTTGCTATTTCATTGCCATGCACTTTGGGCTGTAAACACATTATATGGAAACCTGCATTTACTTATTATCCTCAAACTAATTGGAGTGTTTTATGACACTAAAATACTGTTCAAGTGTGAATAGCAATTTTATTGGATTATTTTTCTTGAAGTTATGCCGTAATTTGTGAATATTCATTTTCACACATTGGCATTTCCAATGTGTGGCATTGAATTCCCATGAGACTAAAGTCCAATGCTATTTACTTTAAATGAATGTCCATCTTAACTGTGGAACAAAATGAAAAATTGATGGTGATTATGTTGTTAAGTATTGTGTAATTTAGCATCAAAATAAAAAACTATTTTGTGCACTACCATCATTATTTACCAATTTATTGTTGTACATTTAACAGATACAAGCCTTGTTTATTTATCAGGAGAAACTTTAAGATGATACTGTAGCATTTTGATTACACCCAAAGTCTCATCAGCATGTAGTCCTGTTGCAATTATTTTTGCCTTTTCTTCTACAAATTACACTGACTCAAGTGCAGGGTTGGCTGAACATTTTATAACTGTCTTTGCCTTATTCTTTAGCAATTGCAGGTGCAAACAGTTCATCAGTTCAAGTTGATGCAGAGGGAATACACAGCAACTTGCTCTATGTTGACCTGTTCAATGGTGTAACAGCCTCCAGATTTATTGATAGACTGGCTAAGGTGATTTACATGTGTTCATTTTTATTAAAAAGTAACTTAACTTAAAAGGGACTAGATTTCCTAATTAGCACAAAAATTATGAGTGGCTTTATTCGAGGAATGTATTAAAATTAAATTTTTTAATCTTGAAACTGAAAGCATGACTGCTGTATTTTTGAAAACAGTATTCATGATTACATTAACTTTCAGACTATTTAGCATACACACACATATGAATAAGATAATATTTATGTATTTAAGGTGACGGAGCAAGAGAAGGCTGACCTGAAGGAGAGCATAGTGGTCCAAGGAGGGGCTTATGGCACCCACCGAGTCAGATTTGTCTTCTACAGAGATATAAGTTCAGAACAGACTGACCTGGCTATAAAGAAGATCCTTTATGTAATACAGGAAATGTCTGGCTAACCAAACTAATTAAGAAATTCAAATACTATATCCAGTATTATAAATAGGGATCAATCACACTGACGAGTACAAGTACTGTATTACATTTGTATCGATTATTCACTAAACAGTACAGCACAAAGGAGTATAGTATCAGAAAAAAAACTGATACATATTAGGATAAGAGGTCTGTTTAAGAATATAATTCTCTCAGTTGCCAGTAGGGTTAATAAGCAGAAACCTGTTACTTATCTGACAGAAATATCTTGCTAATGATGATCTTATAAGTTTGAGAATAGAGGCCAGTTAATTGTCAGTGAAAGGTGTGCAAGTTCCCATAATTACCTCTATATTTATTTTGCTAGGTGCAAAAGGGATGAAGCATGAAAGAAGAAATTATTTTAGGGACAGTTTCAAGTTCACAAAATGAACACACTAAAAGGATTTTTTTTTCTTGTAAGAGTGAAAAGCTGAAAGCATTATCATTTTTTAACAATAGATTTTAAGTGTGATAAGGTGCAGACATATCTGTTTATCAACTGCACAATTTTAATCATTTCATTGGAGTGGGAACATTTATATATATATATATATATATATATATATATATATATATATATATATATATATATTCTATTGCATTAAGTATATTTTCTATTTAATATTATGAGCACAAATTAGAGTAACTTAAATAATCACAAACACAAAGTATTCTGTTACTGCTCACAGCATGGTTATCAGCATTAATTTAACTTTATTTAATTAAGTATTGGACATAATTCATCCTTTGTATTTTAAGATTCCCAATTAAAAATATTTTAATAGAAGGACAGCAAGCTTTTAATTATATTTGGCACAGTCAATGTTTTACTGATGCCAACATAATAAAAATGTTTAAAAGTTTTTCTTTATACATTTTATGGGTGCACAATCAACGTTTTACTAATGCCAGCACAATAAAAATGTTCAATTTTTTTATTTATTCATTTTTATGAGTGGAAGAAAAAGGGTTGTAAAATTGAATGCAACAGAACAAGTATGGGAGACAACACAGAAATAAAAGATAAAATGGAAAAATCAGTCACAGCACAGGCTCAATACCTTGCAGTCCAGAGTTGTTACTAAAAATAACCTTGTGCAAGTCTTAAACATATCACTGTAAACCTGTTGATGGATCGTGTTTTGCCAAAAAAAAAAAAAAAAAAAAAAATACCTGTGACCTTCTAGCCTTAATGTATAAGAGATACCTACATTTGATGACGAATTTGCCTACCAAAGTTAAGGACCATAGGTCCGTAGACTACACCGTTCTTCATATATTGCTCAGACAAGGTTTGGTTATGGACAAACCACAGCAGTATACCCCAGCTTCTTTGAAGGGGGCATAACCGTAAATCTCAACTGGTAAATTTATATATTCTATATTTGCTCAATACCAAGCAAATAACGATTATTGATGCAATTTATTACAAGTACTACAGCCAGTAAAAATACAGTGTGGGATTTTTTCCTTTTTGTGAATGGGAAAAGACAAGTATTTTAGCGTCAGACATTCTGTGGTGCAAGTTTTTCCATAAGTTTTCAAAATGTCCATTTTATAAAATTACATAGATATCCAGCAATAATTTTATCAACCTAAATCTGTTTGTGATTCACAGAGAAACATTTTATAAGTGTCATTATCAGCACAATTTTTATTTTCTTTAATAATAACAATGGACATAAACATAAAGTGTTTGGATAATCCTTAAGCATTTTTCAAGTCCAAATTTTATTTCAAACTGAACAGCAACATGCTTTAAATATTGTAACCAATCTTTTACTGATGTCAGTAGAATAAAAAGTTTTAAAATTTTACTTTTTTTCATTCTTAAATTTGTGAATTTGGTTAAAACAAATGCTGAACTAAAAGATCTATGGTATGGGAATATATACTAGACTCTCTTTTTTTCAAAATAAACTGAAAAATTTAGTCAAAATATAAACATTTCAACTAAGTCTCAAACATGGAGGTCACCAATTGACTGAAAACACCTTGACAGTGCATGGGGTACGTATAGATCTACATAAGTTTGTCACCTGGTCCAACGACCAAGTATAACAGAGGCAGTAATGGTTCTTCATATATCGCTCAGACAAGATTTGGTTCTGGACAAGGTTGCTGAAGTTTTCAAAACACAACAGAACAGAAATGCCAGCATTTAATCTGCTTGCTGCTATCTTTACTTCCTCTAGTATTGGTATTTCAATTGAATAACAATAAAATGATTCAAGATTCTTCCACACAAGGAAATAGAATTCAAATCTCAATTACAAATCTAAAATATAAATATGCACAAAACATTATTATGTATACTTTTCAAGACCTAAAATATGCATAATATAGACATTGTTAGTATGTCCTTAATTAAGGAAGAATGTTAGCACTGTTAGCACTTACAACCATGTGTAAGATAAGTTAACAATGTTTTACCGTCATTAAATAAAGTTTATTATTATTATAATTAATAATTATTATTATTAATATATTAGTGAAATACAATGAATTATTTTTAATTAATTTCAGTCTCAGCTAGTAAAATCCATTGGTAATGTATTTTCCTTGGACTGGAAAAGTTGGCGTGCCAAGGGGTTGGTCTGCTGTGGTGTGCAAAATGGTGTTTTATTTGAACGCTTTGGAGACTCTTTGACAGGTGACTGAAAACAAGCACGGCAGACGGCTAAGTATTTGTCTGCTCCACCAATTACCTCTACCTGAAATATACAGTGAAGTTTTATGTTACAGTAAACAAAAAATACAATTTAATTGTGACTTTCCAAAACACACACACACACACACAAAAAAAAGTACAATTAATGAAATGTGTTATCTTAGGACATCACTGAAAAATTCATCTAATCATACTGAACTACCTTTAAAAATTGAAATCGGACTTTTTTGTATCTACTCGACATAAATTTCAAACAGGGATAGTAACGTATTGAGATATACCTCAGTTTCATTTCCTTTCCTCTTGGTATAAGATGCATCCCCATAGCATATCATGCATACAGCATTAAGCTTGATGATGTTTTCTGCCAGTGGAACCAAGTTCAAAATATCCCCAAATCCCTGTTACAAAAGTGAGGGTGTAAATAAAAAGTTTATTGAAAATAAAGTTGTGTACTAGGTTATGTACTGTTTCTGTACGTGTAATAACTGATCTAAAAAATGTTAAATGAAGACTTAATGGTAAATATTTTATATTAATAATTGCCATATTTAAGTTCTTTAAATAATATTTCCCTGAATTGAATTTCCATCCATTTAGTTCCCAACTGATGTTTAATTACCTTTCTTTGAAAAGTACCATCTAGTGCTGCCACAATGACAACCTTTCCCTTGTTTGCCATGTCTTCACAGAAATCTACCACATCAGGAAACTTCAAAAGAGAAAACTTTTTTTTACCAAGTTATACGTGAATAAGTATTGTTATATTTTAAAAACAAAGCATTTGAATAAATTCTGGCAGGTTTGAACAAATTTAGAGGGTGAATCATGATTTAAATATACAAAAGTACACCTTTTCTGGGGCTTTCTGATGCACTTTCTTGAAATAATTATACCTGCTTTCTTACACTGTGACACATAGTGATATAAAAATGACCAAAAAAATACTATACCAATAATAACAACAACAACATTTCTGACATAGCATTAGATACGTAACACTATAAGTTCTTTCTTATTTCCTTTTTTTTTTTTTTTTTGAGACCTACAAGGAAAGACTATCATATATACTTACAAACTGTCCCTCGTCAATACCAATCACCTCTGCCTGCTTTGCCATATCATCAAGATCCTTCAGTTTGGTGGCAGCAACTGCTGGTAATATTTGCCTTAAAAAGGGGACCAAATACAATGAATACAAAAATTCAATATAACAGGGATAAAAGTTGCATAAAAAATAATTAAAAACAATAAAAGTACATAGAGGCACACATTGCAATATGGGGGTTATTGAGACATAAATACAAAAGAAATATCTGGATTTTTCTGAAAGACTTTCATCTCTATAAAAAGCAAAATATAATTGAGATATTCTTTTTTGTTAACTCTCAGTTTACATAAAAAATTTTCCACAAAAATGTAGAAGATCAATACCTAAAAAGAGGCTAAGATATGCTTTATAGTAAATCATTGTATTTTGACCAAGCAGCTGGATAATTTTAGCCAAATCCAAATATGGATGCAAAGTAAGAATGAACCTGTCGTAAATAAATAATATTTTTTTGCTTTAGCATTAAGCTAAAAAATTAATATGATAAAGTAAGCCCAGTTTTAAACACTGTTACCTTTTTATTAACAAAATTTTGAGGTAAATAATTTGAACTTACCTGTCATGAGTGGCCACGCCTCCTTTGTCATATCTGACATCATTAGCATATTTAATAAGGAGGCAATGGTAGTTGGCTATCTGGTATCTTTTCATTCTTCGGATAAGTTCTGTGCTATAAAATTATTAAATGAAATTATATATAAAAAAACATGCTTTCCATTTCATTGACATTCATCATCTGGAAAAATGTTGTATTTGTAGAAACACTGTTAATCTATGTCAAAGCTGTTTTAATAAAATGCTTTTGTAATTACCTGTGGTCTTTTTTGAGTTTTAATCACGTTTAATCCAGCCCATTGAAATACTATGTGAAAATCTACCATGCATCTTGCAGTCAATAACTTGCCGCATTTTCATTAGATGAACAAGAAAATATATAAAAATGGTAAAAAACTGTTTGAAAAGTGAAAGCTACAGGGTGGGGGGGGGGGGGGGGGTATACTACAAAAGTACCGAGATATTTTCCCTTAGCTTACCTTTTTCCAGAGAACATTGGACCAAAAATAATCTGAAAAATAAATCAGAAATTTGAACATACTAAGACCAAAATAAAATCTAAAGAAATCGGGCAATTTCTGAAATATATACAATAAAATACACAACATGTATAATTAATAAGAATAAATTATGATATATAGTATTTACAATTAATCTCGTCTAAATGTTACATTATAATTATATGAATATTATTTGAAAGCGGATGCTGATAATATTTTGGCTTCTCCCTGCAGTTTTATTCTATATTTTGTGCCATTTCTAAGTAAAAAACTTAGTTCAACACCAAAGTTCCCGTGAACAGGACTGGTTGGTCCTAAATGCTAAACGTATGTTGTAAATTGTAATCCATATACAGTTAACGATCAAAGCAAATCATTCAAGTTAATGCGCAAAGAAAACTGTGCACAATAAAACCCACTCCACGAGCAGTGTGAACTATTACCTGTAATTGTCCTTTGTTGCATAAATCTGGAGATAAATTTGTCATATTCACACAGGATGTCATTGTTAATACTTTCTGCACGGCCAGATACACCAAATCTTCGCGGTATTTTGATCCCACATCTCGTGTTATCTCGTTAGTCTGTTTTCAAATTTTCCATAGTAACCAATCAATTACTTATCTTAAAGTAAATTATATATGCATTTTTACCTTGTTTTGAGCTAAATAGACCTGCTTCTATAAAATATCAGCAGCTTTTGGGTATTTCCGGTTCATGTTGTTGACATGACAACAAACATGGCCGACGAACAGGTACATATGACTTTTCTTTACGAAGAATTTTAACTGTGAATTCTGTCACATTGACGTAAATATAATCTTAGTTAAAGTATATATATTTTCCAAAGTCAAGGTATTTTGTGAAGGGTTGTATTTATTGAAAGCAATGGAATTAGCTTAGTGTCGCGACATTTTTGTTCGTTCAAAACAAGGATCCCAAATAAACCCTTACGAAAATTTCCTATAGGATTCCTATAGGAAATTTCCTATAGGAT